TCTCTTCTTCATACCCCTAAATGGATGTATCCCTTAAGGCTCTGCCTCCGACCCCCTTCTCACTCATTCTACCTTCTCTTTCTGGATGAACAATCTTATATTTACTTTAGAAATATTTTTATATTCCTTATATTTCCTTTAAGAAATTATGTTTCCTTTAGATGAAAGCTTCAACATAACCACTAGGTAACCAAATCCCAAACCTCTACTTTCACTTCTGGAAACCATTACTCTGGTCACATATTTCCCACTGAGATGATCAGGGAACAAATCCTACAGAGAGAGTAATTCCACCCCTAGATCTGGTAGAGTACTCTTCATATACAATTACATGACCATTGGTCATTATTTTCATAATGTGTTTTACCTGCCCAGAAGGCAATAACTAATTTCATTAGGCTATACACTCCTTTTACAGAACATCTTAAATTTCACAAACCCTATGCTTCATATATGTAACCATCTCACTTAATTGTACAGGTACTAGATTCCCATTTTTGCAGACAGAAAAACAGATTCAGCAAATTTAAATAACTTGTTCATTTGAAAACAAGATAATATTTTATGTTTCCTATCACCAACAAGGATCTAATAATTGTCTATTACCTCTAGATCTGGATATGTCTAGAAAAAATTTCCGTGAGGTTTCTCCTCTTCTATTTTCACATCTAACTATGATTCCAATGATCTCCAGGAAACTGCCAATGTTCCACTGCAGAGAATATGGCATCCTTTTAAGTAATGCTTCTCAAAGATGTTCCACAGACCCCAAGGTCCCTGAAGCACTTTTAGATAGTCAGAAAAATCAAAACTATTTTCATAATAATACTAAGATGTTACCTGAACTTGTTACTATGCTGTATTTGCACTGATGGTACAAAAACAATGGTGGGCAAAGTGCTGGTACCTAGGTATCAATCAAGGCAGTGGCACCAAATTAAATAAATAGACAATTTCACTTCAGAATGGCCATGATGAAACTGTAAATGTTATTAATTTTAATAAATCTGAACCCTTAAGCAAGTGTCAGTATTCTGTGTAAAGAAATGAGAAATATACGAAAAGTACTTCTGGTGCATACCGAAATACAATGACTGCCTTAAGGAAAAGCACTGGTGTGATTGAATTGTGAACTGTTCACACTGTTTTATGGCACAAAATTTTTACTAGAAGACAACTGAAAAACTGGTTCTTCACACATTTCACCCCCAAAAAAATGAATGAAATAAATCTATCACTTCAAGGAAAACAACTGACAGACTAAAGTCAAATTTTCATGTGAAAATCATAATTCTGGGAGACTTGTATTTGCCCCCATATCTTTACATTCCCAATACTTAAAGATTTTCTAAAGATATCAATGGGGATAATAACAAATGTGGTTTTGTTATGTTGTATAATATGTGTCAACATCTGGAGAATGTGCATAATTTAGAGAACCATTATTTTCCAAGTGTCAATGAAAAATGGTATAAAATAATGTGTGTGTAAGATCCTTTCAAAGTGTAAGAGAGACCAATGGATTTTAATATAACAAAGTGTAGAGAATTTAATGATATGGATTCATATTCTACATTGCAATTAATCTATAATAAATTTCAGTCCTGTTCCTTGTCATATGTAAGGCTTTAGACAACCTAATTTTTCTCTATTCCAGTTTCCTTACCTGGAAAATAGGATAGTAATGGTACCTATCTCACCAGAATTACTGTGAGAATTAAATAAGATAAATACATGTAAAGAATTAGAAGAATACCTGGCACATTGTAAATACTCAGTAAATGTTATTTTCACTTTTCTTATCATCTTTATGTTCCTTAAAGTTCTCATATATATAGTCATCTAACATACTGAAAGTCATGATTTTTTTTCTTTCATTTTATGACCCTGTAACATATTTCCTTCTAGGAATCTAGGTTCATCCACATTCCTTTACTTCCAAAATTTTGTTCTCCCATTTCAACTTGATAGTTTGATTTTTAAACTCATAAATAATTAAGAATTTGGGCTAGGAATCTCAGCAAAAAAAAAAAAAAACACTTAAATTCCATCCAGTAAAATGTACTAATATTTACTAGATATCTAAGAGCAGGTTATAAGTAAGAAAACATTTTTAAAATATAGAAATAAAGTTTCCAGAAATAGATTATACCTATTAACCAGATTCACTATCTACATTCCATATTAATAGAATTATTTAATCAAAAAAAGTAAACCACCAAATTCCTTTTCTAAAATCAAAACATTAGTTCTCTGACTTTTTAATCAAAAGAAAAATGCTATACCCTAGCTGGTTTGGTTCAGTGGATAAAGCATCAGCCTGCGGACTGAAGGGTCCCAGGTTCAGTTCTGGTCAGGGGCACATGCCTAGGTTGCAGGCTCGATCCCCAGTAGGGAACGTGCAGCTGATCAATGATTCTTTCTCATCACTGATGTTTCTATTTCTCTCTCTCCCTCTCCCTTCCTCTCTAAAATCAATAAAAAATATATTAAAAGAAAAAAGCTATTTAAAACTTAAATTTCATTCAGCCAGATTCTTCTAAGACTAAAGACAAAGCTGAAATGTGGTGAAAAATGAAAATGGGAAAAATGAGATGTACAATACCCTGGTGAAGAAAGGACAACATTTATGTGGCTGGACAATTAGCAGATCATTCTAAAGGTGAGAGGTCAGGCCAAAGCATGTCTGTCTGCTCAATTGTTTTGCTAGCACAATAGTTCATTCATTAATTCAAAACCACTAAAAGAGTTTTCATCCACATTAAGAAGGTAGGAAGGATTTTTAAAAGGGGGAGGCGGAAAAGTATGGGTGAAATCGAATGAAGGAAGGGTGGTCCAGACCAATTTTGATAGTTCTACATCAACTAAAGAAACTAAAAGAATTGTTATTTGTATACAAGGACTCTCCTAGAATTCCCAAAATTGAGTCTAAGAAAAGGGGTCATTGTTGAGCCCCAAGAGTAGTGTCTACTCTTTTGACAGTTTATATAGTCAGAATATATACTTTTATCGGGAGAAACCAAGATGGCGGCATAGATTAACGCCGGAGTTTGCTGCCTCTAACAACCACTTCAAAAATACAACTAAAAGATGGAACGGACATCATCCAGAACCACAGGAAGGCTGGCTGAATGGAAGTTCTACAACTAGGAGGAACCGAGAATCAGAGGAGGCGCAGTGCTGAAATACTAAGGTGCGGAGTGCGCGCGGCGCGGGCTGGTGGCTGAGGGCGTGGTTGTCTGTTTCAATCCGGAGGGAGCCCCAGACTCAGAGCTCCAGATCCGGGCGAGTCTCTAGGGACCCAGACTCAAACGGGAGAAGCAGGACTGTCTGGCTACGGTCCCTCCGAGGTTTGCAGCTGTTGCTGGGACAGAGAGGCAGAGCCCCTGGGGACGGACTGAGAGCAGCCATAACTGCTCCCTCCTCCGCCCTGTTGATCCCTTGGGACCCACCCCGCCCAAGCCCTGCACAGAGGCATTTGCCAGATAGCCTCAGGCAAAGGCTAGATTAGCACAGCCAGTCGGCCTGGAGGTCAAATCCCTCTAGTATTAACTATAACAATCAAGGCTTAACTACAACAAGACTGCGCACAAAGACCACTAGGGGGTGTACCAAGAAAGCGTAAAAAATGCGGAGACAAAGAAACAGGACAAAACTATCAAGGGAGGATATTGAGTTCAGAACCACACTTTTGAGGTCTCTCAAGAGGCTTCTAGAGTCTGTCAATAAACTTGATGAGTTGTACAGGAAATCTAATGAGACCCTCGATGGTGTGCTAAAGGACCATCTAGAAAGTAAGCATACACTGACTGAAATAAAGAATATTATACAGACTCCCAACAGCAAACCAGAGGAGCGCAAGAATCAAGTCAAAGATTTGAAATGCGAAGAAGCGAGAAACACCCAACCGGAAAAGCAAAATGAAAAAAGAACCCAAAAATACGAAGATAGTGTAAGGAGCCTCTGGGACAGCTTCAAACGTACCAACATCAGAATTATAGGGGTACCAAAAGATGAGAGAGAGCAAGATATTGAAAACCTATTTGAAGAAATAATGACAGAAAACTTCCCCCACCTGGTGAAAGAAATAGACTTACAAGTCCAGGAAGCGCAGAGAACCCCAAACAAAAGGAATCCAAAGAGGACCACACCAAGACACATCATCATTAAAATGCCAAGAGCAAAAGACAAAGAGAGAATCTTAAAAGCAGCAAGAGAAAGAAACTCAGTTACCTACAAGGGAATACCCATACGACTGTCAGCTGATTTCTCAACAGAAACTTTGCAGGCCAGAAGGGAGTGGCAAGAAATATTCAAAGTGATGAATACCAAGAACCTACAACCAAGATTACTTTATCCAGCAAAGCTATCATTCAGAATTGAAGGTCAGATAAAGAGCTTCACAGATAAGGAAAAGCTAAAGGAGTTCATCACCACCAAACCAGTATTATATGAAATGCTGAAAGGTATCCTTTAAGAAGAGGAAGAAGAAGAAAAAGGTAAAGATACAAGTTATGAACAACAAATATGCATCTATCAACAAATGAATCTAAGAATCAAGTGAATAAATAACCTGATGTACAGAATGAACTGGTGATTATAATAGAATCAGGGACATAGAAAGGGAATGGACTGACTATTCTTGGGGGGAAAAGGGGTGTGGGAGATGTGGGAAGAGACTGGACAAAAATCGTGCACCTATGGATGAACACAGTGGGTGGGGAGTGAGGGCGGAGGGTGGGGTGGGAGCTGGAAGGAGGGGAGTTATGGGGGGAAAAAAGAGGAACAAATGTAATAATCTGAACAATAAAGATTTAAAAAATAATAATAATAAAATAAAAATAAAAAACAAAACCCAACTATAAAAAAAAAAAAAAAGAATATATACTTTTATCTACATTCCATGCTGGCTAAGTTGGCTCACCGATTAGAACAGGCTTACATGAACTCCCTCAGAGCCTGCAGTCACTGTCCACCCTGGGTGAAGTGGATACACTTACCCATACTCATCTTGATTGGCAGGTTTTCTCTGCTTGCTGCTTCCACTAGATGTCTCCGGACTTCCATCACTGCCTCTTTGTGCTTGGTGTTCAGTAAGGCTTCCCACAGGGCTTTGGCTGCAGTATCACTGCAATAAAACCACAAAGAGCTTTAAAATAAATTTCTACCAAATAATGGAAAAGGTTGAAAGCAAAATAATTTCTAAAATATCTTCTTTGAGCACTAAAGTAGTCTTTCCTACTGATAGATTCTAGGCATAGGATTAAATGAAGACTATCTAATCCATTTTAAACAGCACAAAATATTGAGAAATTAGGGAGACAAAACCAAGCCAAAAAAAAAAAGAGGAATAAAAGCTATATTGTGCTTTGAGAAGTGGGGGAAAACTATATGATATTTTTTAGATATGACACTTTTTTTAGATTTTGCATTTTAAAGTATTTCAGAGTACAGTTCAACATTGCTACAATAATATATAAATGCTATATAAGCCAAAGTTAATACATATCCAAAAAATGATTTATCAGTGATTATAAGCATAACAATTTGAGATAACATACATGTATGGAAAGCACAGAGCAATTAGCAATGAGAATTCCTGTTAAAAAACCACTTGATAGAATTCCTAATGAGTAGGTTTTCTAGTGAATGAAAATCAAGAATTAGGCTAAGTAACCAAGGCCTTAAGTATCTACTTTGGGCCTTAGGTTGGAAGGATAGCACATCCTTCACCATAAACCATGATAACAGAAAGAAGCCCTGCATTGTGCAGGGTCTCATCTGGGCTCACTTGTCCAACAGCCCTCTGTCTCACGCACCACGCCATGTTTAAATTATAAATGAGCACAGTGTTCTTCCCGGAAGACCTCTACATCAGCCAAGTATACACATTTGTAGTAACGTTTCAAAACCTGAATATAAAGAAACAAAGATGACTTCTGTCCCTTTCCAAGGACTTTTTCCTTCACTTAAAGCTCTACTAACATCTCTTACTATCCAGTTAGCTAATAGTGTGAAAATGAATGGATTTTTAAAGTTTGGTTTTAAAAGTTATATCTAATAAGATATTAATTTAGCTTTAAAGTTATACCTAATAATACATATCTTTTAAGTTCAAATTTGATTGGGAATAATGGAATGATGTACTTCAGCGCTGAGTTTAATGTCTGGCACATACTAATCTTTCATTAAAGAGTTAGTTGTTTATTATCATCTATTTTTTTTCTGACTGAACTAACATCACTGCTCAACATATGCCACTTGTTTAGATCTAATCAAAACTGTCATTATAACTCTGCACCCAATATTCTATGTTTAATTTAAATAAGCAGGTAAACTCCAAGCCAAGCCCCATTCTCATGGTTGAGATATAGATAAATACAAGGCATAAGCTTTCAATGACTGAAAGGAAGAAGAGGCAGAGATACAAGCAAAGAAATTATCCCCAAAAGAAGTGTGATAAGAGGCATGATCAATGCTGCACAGATTTAGCTGGTAGCACAGAGGAGGGCTCTAATCCTGGCTGGGAGGGCAAAGGCTCAGAGATTGGTTTCTACTGGAAATATGAGCAAGTACACAGATACATACATTCCAAAAACAGCCAAGGGAAGAAGTTATAACTGAATCTGGGAAGGAGAATGGTAAAGAAAGTCCACAAAGAATATATAAAATCTTTATCACAAAACAAGAGGAAGAAGGATGCTTCAGAATGTGCAGATTCCTAGGTACACAACACTAATGAGGACTGTTTTGTTCCATGCTAAGGTGCCAGGGAAGGGGCATGACAAGTAAGGGCAAAAGAGAAGGTGGGAGCTACTCTCGTAGGGTCCTGCATTACTTTCCAAGGCTTGTCAACTTCAGTCTGTAGGTAACAGGTCGCCAATGAGCATGTGCTTGATTTCACATTCTGGGAAGAGTACCATAGCTTAGCAGTTGTGAACACAGTCTTTATCATCATTCAAAACTAGGTCTATTTCCTGTGGGGTTTTGGGAAAGTTACTTAACTTCTCCAAAGCTCTGAAGGCAATGGAGAACCACTGCAAAATTCTGAGCAGGGGAGTTAAAGTCCCAGTTTCCCCAATTTATAGTACACAATCTTTCCCTACTTTCATTCTCCAAAGCTCCTCTCTGCAAAACACAGGGATTTCTCACATACTATTAACTCTGTACACAGAACTTCTAGAGTAGATATTTACTGCCCTCCTCTATTCCATGAGTATAAGACAAAGTGTCTTCAAGATCACAGTAGGTTAGGAAATACTGTGGTTGCCCCATCAGATCAGTGTGGTGAGTGAAATGTGGGCTCTGGGGTTAGATAAATCCATGTTCAAACTGACCATGAACTCTTCACCCACAGTAGCTACATGGCCTCTTTGGTCTTCCTCAGGCACTCCAAGCTTAGGCACTCCTTTGCCAGTAATGCTCTTCCTACAAATATCCCCTCTCTCTCTTCAGGTGCCTGCTGAAATGTCACCTTATCAGAGAAGTCCTCCTTAGTGCCCTATATAAAAGAGTAATGACAGCCCGTCCCAGCACCATAACCTCGTACTGCCCCCCCCCCATTTCCCCTTTACTGGACTTTACTGTTCTACATAATCCTATTACCATATGACCTTATTATGCTTCCATTTTTTGCCTATCTCCCTCATAGAAGGTAAGGTCCTTTTATGAAAACAGGATCTTATTTTACTCATTGCTAATTTCCCAATAGTTAGAACAGTGCCAGGCCTGTGGTAGGTACACTTAATAAAAATGAATGAATGGGGACCAGCCCATTGTGCACATAACTAATCCTTTCTTTTCCTCTGTTTTCTCATCTATGAGATGGAGGTAATAATAGTGATCACCTCACAGGTTGTAAGAGTTAAATAAGATAATGTACATAAAGCACTTTCCTGATTCACAATAAATATGAGTAATTATGTAGTTGTTACTACTACTACTATTGCTACGAAAGGTATTATCTTATAATTCAATGTGTTCAAGGGTTTGTATATAATTAGGTGAATTCACTTCATTATACTGACCTAGAGGCCTGGTGCACAAAATTCGTGCATGCGGGGGGGGGGGGGGTGTCGGGGGGGTCCCTCAGCCCGGCCTGTACCCTCTCCAATCCAGGACCCCTCAGGGGATGTCCGATTGCCTCTCGCAATCTGGGACCACTGGCTCCTAACCACTAGCCTGCCTGCCTGCCAGATCACCCCTAACCACCTCTGCCTGCTTGCCTGATTGCCCCTAACTGCTCCCCTACCACCTATGCCTCACCCCACACCCGGGACCCAGGATTCCCTCCTCCGGCCAGTTGCAGGCACCTGGGACCCAGGCTTCCCACCCTCTGGCCAGCCGCAGGCACCCAGGACTCGAGCTGGCTTCACCCAGGCCGGCCGCAGCCGCAGGGGACTGTGGATGGGCGGCTTCACCTAGGCTGCAGCCGCAGGCACCGGGGACTGCGGGGCGGGCGGCTTGTCCCTCTCCCTGGCTGCAGCCGCAGCCGCTGGCGCCTGGGACCGTGGGGTGGGCGGCTTGTCCCTCTCCTGGGCCACGGGCTGGCTGGTCCCCATTCCTCTCTCTCGAGGTCATTTGTGCCTGGCTGGTCTCCCTTCCTCTCTTGCAAGCTCCTTTGTGCCTGGCTGGTCCCCATTCCTCTCTCGCAAGCTCATTTGTGCCTGGCTGATCCCCATTCCTCTCTCCCCAGTGTTGAGTGTCGGAGCAGTTCCGGTGCAAGGGTGTGAGTGAGTGAAGACCATTTGCATATTAGCTCTTTATTAAATAGGATAATTTTTACACAACACTGATTTGTTCACATATACTTAAGTCACTTGGGGCTTGTACTCTCTGGCTCTTTTCTCATAAAACAGTTTAGAAGAAATACATAGTTTCCATGATCTCTAACACTGATGCCAAGTCATGTTTCCTGGAAAATTATTTTTTTTAACGTAAGCAATTCTGATTTGCTAGATATGTGTGACAGTTTCTAATATCCAATTCCTGTACAAAACACCTTACTAACCGCCACATCACACATGGTCAGTTTAAAATTACCCTGTTAATATTCATACACTAATTCTGGTTCTCCAAATAATCAGCACCGAAGTCAAGATCATACTTACTGACAACTCTACTGTGTCCTGCACCCATGTCTTCACCAATCACTCTGTTACTGCTGCTTGGTGGTTTACACACATACTCCTATATGGGCATCTGAGTTGAGTATGGGAGTTAATCACTGCCTTTCTCTAATATGCTCAGAAAAGTCGATCCAATAGACATTTCACACTACTGAAGTTTCACATGAAATCAATTCCTGATGTTGAATTGTATAAGTCAAGAAAAGTTCATTGAAATCCATTCTATAATCACAATGGTATATTTTATATCATTCTTTATCCTCTCCAACTGTTCAAACTCTCTATTTTCCTGATGAGGAAATAAGCACTGCACAGGGGCTATCACAATAGGGCCAGTGCAGTCAACTAGTGGTAGTCATTGCTGTAGTCTAGTAGCAGCATGGGTTCTGGAACCAAACAACAGAGGGTTCTCCTTATTCTGCCACTTGCTAGCTCTATGTCCCTAAGAGAGTTACCTAACCTCTCTGTACATGTTTCCTGTTAACTGGGGATGGTAATAGTTTCAGTGGGTTATTATGATAATTGAATGCACTAATATATCTGAAGCACCTAGAACAATGTTTGGCACATATTAAGTGATCAATAAACATAGCAGCAGCAGTAGTAGTAATAAAAAATATCAAAGGTCAGCCCTAGCTGGTTTGGCTCAGTGGATAGAGCATTGGCCTGCAGACTGAAGGGTCCCAGGTTTGATTCCAGTCAAGGGCACATGCCCAGGTTGCAGGCTTGCTTCTCAGGAGGTGGCATGCAGGAGGCAGCCCATCAATGATTCTCTCTCATCATTGATGTTTCTATCTCTCTCGCTCCCTCTCCCTTCCTCTCTGAAATCAACAAAAATATATTTTTTTAAAATTAAAAAAATCAGCCGAAACCGGTTTGGCTCAGTGGATAGAGCGTCGGCCTGCGGACTGAAAGGTCCCGGGTTCGATCCCGGTTGGGGGCATGTGCCTGGGTTGCGGGCACGTCCCCGGTGGGGGGTGTGCGGGAGGCAGCTGATCGA